ACTTATGCAGCGCCACGTGCGCGCGCCCCCGCCAGTTGGCAGCGACATCTTGCAGCGCCATATCTCGATAGTGTTCATTTTGTCGCGCGTGATGAGTGACCAACCTGGGGCCCTGAGCTCGAGTCGGCTTGTCTGAGGGGCCCAGGTCGCGATGAACTTGGCACATGTGTTCCGCGCCGCTGATCCATGCCGCATGCGCGCTGCTGACGTGGAGGGCGTGGGGTCCTCCTACCTTGAAGGAGGGGGATGCCCTCGCTGGCTCCCAAACCTGCGAAGTAGCTTGAGCATAATAACCTGCCTGAGCTCGAGCCCATGGCCACGGGTCCGAGGGCGGAGCGAAAGCAGGAGCAGTGGCATGAGCAGTCGAGTTGGATGAGCTCTCTTGCTGGAGGGGTCCTTGTTATCATCTACAGCTGAGACGATATCGGGATTCGTCGAGGCTAGTAGATTCACCTGAGCACCTCCCGTCACGGGAAAGGGGGTGCCGAGGGCGAGGAGGAGAGAGTGGTGGAGGGGATCGTAGGCCCAACAAAGCCGGGCTCGCCAGCCCACGGATCCACCTCATCTTCATACAGGTCAGAGTGACAACCTGGGACAAGCTCGGGATCCTCTGGCATCAAGGGGACGATGCTAGGCGGATCGGCGCCGAGAGCTGGCGGGGGCAAACTGGACTCGACCTCAGGGGGGGGGTGGATCTGGAATATCCCCGAGAAGCTCTGAAAGACTGGTAATGTGTTTAAATTTCTTGCACGAGCAAGGGCCTGGTGGGGCATCTGTTTCCACCGCGCCCGCGAGGTCCTGGGCCCGCTCTGTGCCCGAGAGCCCGTGGCCGGGCCACCCGAGGCAACCTCTCGGGCAGCAGAAGTGAACGAGTGATCCGTTGCTCGCCCTCCTCCTCCTCCTCCTCTCCTTCTCCTCCTCCTCCTCCTCCTTCTCCTCCTCCTCCTCCTCCTCCTCCTCAACACTCCTGCGTTGAAGCACGGGTGCGCAGTGGGGCTTCCACGGCGCATCCTGAAGTGCCCGCGCGCCCAATATCTGCGGCGTGGCTGACGGCGAAGCCAGCGTGTAGACGACGCGAGACGCACGCGCCACTTTTGCTGGCGCGCGCGCGCGTTCAACCGGAGCCTCCAGCACCGGCGCCCCGATTTTGCCAAGAAAGCCCCCCGACGCGCCCGACGAGAGCTCGGGCGACGGGATGTTAAAGTCTCCGAGCACCACCCGCGGAAGATGAAGGGCCTGCAAAATGGGCCCAAGCTTGGCCAGACGCTCGAGGTTTTGACCAGCGTATCCCCGGGAGCGGTGCCCGTAAAAGGTGAAATCCATAATGCTATAGCACTGCTGCCTCACAACTACATGGAGGAATCCGCCGAGCATACCCATGCCCTCCGAGCATAACTGAGATACCTCACTGCTGTGTTGAGACAAGGCATGTGTTTGACGATGGCCTTCGGACAGAAAGAGTTCGCCACCTTCCGCAGCGCGCGATTGCCCCGAGGCGGTGAGACACCGACGCCCCGTGGGTCTGGCTGCATTCACGTGGCAACGAAATTTGGCGAGGCGAGCTTTTCTCCTCCAGTCTGCAACTGTGCCGCCTCCGATGTGCGTCGCGCAGATGGCGAAGTGCTGGGGGGCTCTGGGCGAACGTAGGTGGCAGATATAACCCCGCGCCTTTCGACCGAGGAAAGTGACGTTACTGAAGGAGATATGTGTGACCGCACTTGAGTCAGCTGGCGATCGCTTCGAACGAGGTGGTGTAGCTGGTGGGCCTGGACCCCCCCCCCCTGCTGAGGCTCTGAGCTCCTGCGCCCTAGATCCCGTCGAAGGTGAGAAAGAGACCGCCGAATTCGGCGGCGCCGTCGAAGATGGGCCCGGCGGTGATGAAACCCGCTGGCCCTCGAACAGGCTGCGCGAGACGAGGGCGCCCTCGCGAGCCTCTTGGGGGCGCTGCTGGCCCCCTGTGTTGATCGCGCTGTCGCCGCCGCCGCGGCCTGGGCGCCCTGGGCGACACCCTGGCCGGCTGCGCCAGCCATGGCGTTGGCCGCGGCCTGCGCTGCCTGCGCCGCCGCCGCCGCTGCCGCCCCCTTGGCCATCCTGATGCGCTGCGCCTCCGCCTCGATCGCCTCGGCGCGCTGGCGGGCGGCGGCGTCGGTCTCGCCCGCGGGGGCCGACGCCGCCGCAGCCGACCCCACGGCGCTGTTGTCAGCTGCCGCAGGGGCCTGGCTCGCCGCTGCCGTTGGCGCGGTGCCTGCAGGAGTGGCCTCGGCAGCGCCACCTCCCTCGGCCCTGCGCTTCTTGGCGTGGCGGGCCGTGGCTGCCTCCTGCGCGGCCTCCGCCTTATCCCTCCCATTCGTGATGGACTCGCTCTTGTCCGTGGGATCCTTTCTGGTTGCCTGAAGGTCGGCCTCGAGCTTGTGCAGGGTCTCCTTCTCGGTGCCCTCGCACTCGTACTCGCCTGACCGAACCTTGTCGAACAAGTCAGCGTCCCAATCGATTTCCAACTTGACCTTGCCATCCTTGGGCGTCAGATCCGCTGCCTCGGCAGCGGGGGCCGCGGCGAAGCCCGCCTGCGCCGCCAAGGCCGGCCGCCGTCCTGCGGGCGATCTCGGCCTCGGCGAGAACCTTCGCGGTCTCTGCCTCTTTCGACTCCGTCCGCGAGAGCGCCTCGCGGCACCTGCTGACCTGCTGCACCGCCTGGTCGTACTCGTAGTTCGCGTCCTTCCACGCGCTCGCCGCCCGTTTGACCGCCTCCTCTGCTGTCTGAGGATGGGCCGAGGGCTGCGCCTGCTGCTGAATGGCCGCCGTGAGCGCCGCCACTAGTAGCGGGTCCTTGGCGACTCCGAGCGCCTGGGTGCAGACCTCGATCGGGGGCGCTGCGACGGCGAGCTGAAGCTGGTTGCCTCCTGCTGCCCCTCCGCTGCGGCCGCTGCCCCTTTTGCCACTCTGAGATCCACCCTTCGGCGTGTAAATCTTCACCTGTCTGTTGCAGCGTGTGCATTTTTTTGAATTCTGCGCCAGCACATCGTTCCACTCATGCCGATGACAGCCGTGGCAAGTGGACCACATGCGGGCTGGCTGCTGCTGCTGAGCTGCCGTAGCCTTTGCCTTGCCCATTTCTCCCACATTTTGCCAATCATATCGGCCGCGAAAATCTGCGGGCGGCATACTGATTGCCCCCCGAGCGCCCCGAGAAGGCGGTGGGAGCTGGACTGAACAACCTGCCTCACACACGGGGGTGAGAGGACTTGGTGCTCGAGCCCAAATTGCTTGAGAGGAGGAGGAGGAGGAGGAGGAGGAGGAGGAGGAGGAGGAGGAGGAGGAGGAGGAGAGGAGGACGAGGAGGAGGAGGAGGGCGGAGGAGGAGACGGAGGAGGAGGAGGAGGAGGAGGAGGAGGAGGGGGGGGGGGACGAGGAGGGGGAGGGGGAGGAGGAGGGGAAGGATGGAAAGGAGGAGGAGGAGGAGGAAGAGGAGGCGAATGAGGAGCAGGAGGAGGAGGAAGAGGAGGAGGAGGGGAGGAGGAGGAGGAGCAGGAGGAGCAAGATGAGGAGGAGGAGGAGGAGGAGGAGGAGGAGAAAGAGGAACAGGAGGAGGTAGAGGAGGAGGAGGAGGAGGAGGAGGAGGAGCATTTATCTCCAGTCCTTCTCGCCGTGATTGCCCCCCGTGTTCGGGGCCGCCTCCGCCGCAGCAGTTGCGGGGCCCGCGCGGTGGCCGCTGCTGTTGGACGTATTGAATCTTGGCATCGCTCGGACGTGTACTTCTTGTTTCTCGGCGTTGGCCATCGAAGAGAGTTTTGTAGGGGAGCGAACAATGACATAAACATAAAACCTCGGAGGCCCGTGCGGATTTCTCGCATCGGCGCTGGGGCCACCTGGCCGCGCCTCCGGCGCCGCCCCTGGTGCGCTCCGCCCGCCAGGGGGGGTGGTCCAGCGCCGATCCGAGAAATCCGCGCGGACCTCCGAGTTGTTATGTTTATGCCATTGCTTGTTCCCTTTTTTGGGGTCAGCTTACGGATGAAATGCACACACGAAGCCGAAACATGCACGGGGAATGGACGTCCGAGCGATGGCGAGGAGAGGTTCGGCGCGGGAATTCGGCTTGTATGCTCTCAGGTTCGTCTCTGGCGGTTTGGCCAGTGCGCTCCTTCGGACCGCCCAGTGCGCTCTCGATTCGTTTCCTCCTCGTCGGCCTTCGGCCTTTCTCGTCTCTGCTTTCACGTTCGGGTGGAGCCAGGGTGCACGGCTTTGCCCTCCAGCGGTGGTGCACTGATGGTCGATCAGGAAAAAAGGAGGTCCGGCGCGGGACTGCCACCATGCCTGCCACCATCGCGCAACATAGCAGCAGGTTTGGAACCTCCTCCCTTACAAGACTGAGTCTTTTGGACATCCCAGGTTTACGAGTGGTTTCTCTCATTATTGTTATTGCTATTTCTATTATTCGTATCTTTAGTAGTATATGTTTTTTATCCTTGCTACTGGTATTTGCATTCATGGTGATTATTGTTATCGTCGTTGTAGCATTGTCTTTATATATCATCGTGATTGTCATGATTATTTTCATCACTTGTATCTTGATCATCATTATTCGTATTGTTGTTGCTGCAATCGCCGTTGTTATTTTTTGATATCGCCAGATCCCAAAACAGCACATCGTCAGTGGCCAGTGGCCGCCGCCCGTCTGGTCTGTTCCTTCTCTTCTCCATGCCCCTCCTGGCTAATGCGGGATGACGATTAATAAAAAATGGGAGAGAACGATTAAAAACATAGTTTTCTGCTATTTCTGCACAAGCTTCTGACTGGAGGAGAACGGTTCAAAAAATAGTGTTCCAGCCCGCGGCCGGTTTTTTATAATCGTCATCCCGGGCGCCGCCGCGTGAACACGACCCCCGGTCATTTTATTAATCGTCATCCTCCATTACATCCATTCATGCCCCCCAGCACCGTTTCACCTTCGCCCTCTCGAGCCTGTGGTCGGTCGTCCTGTGCGTCCTGGCAGTCCCGGCAAGGAGTCCGCGGCGCTGGACATCATCAGGCCGCACACGGAGACGTCGCACATCCAGGAGATGGCATTTTGTACCCCAGGAGGAGGAGGAGGAGGAGGAGGAGGAGGAGGAGGAGGAGGAGGAGGAGGAGGAGGAGGGAGGAAGGAGGAGGAGGAGGAGGAGCTCCCTCCTCTCTCGCCCTGGCGACGTCTGCCTCCTTCCTGCTGGACCTTCGGATGAGTATTCGTTGTGTTGGCAAGCTTGCAGGTACTTGGGATTCCCCACTCGTTGCTCCCCAAGCTCCGGGCCGATGTATGTAGCTAGCTGTGTGGTTACAGATCAGGGCAGCGCGACAACCTGTGTGGCCACACCAGTTATTTCCACTCGGCGTCACTGCTCGAACAGGGCCGCTTCTCGAGGCAAAGCAGATTGTTTGAAATTGTTGTCATCCGCGCGGGCTGCAACCTGTGTTTTTTTTTTTGTCTCACTTGCGGCTGCGGTTGCAGATCGTTAACCAATCAGGTCAGGCTTGCAAGATCCAGCAAGATGCGTACTGGTCTGCAAGTCCTGCAAACCGATTCCTCATGGCTAACGTAATGGCGAGGGAAGAGGTATGCGGCGAGGAGATGACGAGGGAAATGGGATACGGATGAGGAGAACGAGGAAGAGGCCATTGTGGGTTGGTCGAATTTCTTGGCGGCTTGATTCCGTTCCATGTTGGGGCGCTCGTGCTCCGACGTGAGCTGCTCATAATCACTGGTGTGTGATTGGTCCTGCAACGCTCTGCATTATCAATCGCAACATGGCAAGTCACACGATGCGATAGCACAGCTACCTATGCGCATATCAATAGGAAGCGCGCGATCACGGAGCCATCGCGCAGCAGCGCCAAGCGATGGCGAGCAGGGGGAGAGAAGGCTGCTGACTGTATCGAGGCGACGCGACGCGAAACGAAGGAATTCAAGACCGAGCGAGGCAGAGTGCGGCAGGCCAGCCGCGCCCTGCAGACATGCCCTAGACGACAATCAGGGACTTGACTGCCCTGATACGGCCGTGCTGAAACGAAACACGTTCCTCCTCCTCCTCCTCCTCCTCCTCCTCCTTCTCCTCCTCCTCCTCCTCCTCTTCAAACCATCGGCTTGAACACGCTGCGTGTGAGTGCGGCACGCGCTGTCCCACGCTTTGGCGAACACATCGCGCCATACATGCGCTCTCAGTCGAGGCGGTGGGATCCGCGTCGGCACGCTGCGGGACGCGTGCCGCGCATCGGGGCCCGCTGGGTCGGAGATGAGTGCCGTCAGAGAAGTCGAGGATCCGCTCAGTTCCTGACTTCGAGAGTCGATCCGCAGAGGGCGCTGACTATTCATGTTGAGTAGGCGTAGAACCAAGGAGGAGGAGGAGGAAGGAGGAGGAGAAGGAGGAGGCGGTATCAGCTGCTGGCCCCCCGCTCTTTGGGCGCAAGGGGAAGCGGGGCCGGGACAGCATGCGCGGCCCGGGAGGCCGGTGCTGCATCCGTGCCCCCGCTCGGGCCACTCGCGGAGCCCAAGCGCGAGCGGGGGCACGACGACGACGACGACGGCAATTACGACGACGTCGACGGCGAACGACGACGACGACGAACGACGACGACGACGACGGACGACGACGACGACGACGGACGACGACGACGACGACGACGACGAGTGGGGGCACGTTGACGACAGTCACGACGACGACGAACGACGACGAACGACGACGAAGACGACGACGACGACGACGACGGCAATTACGACGACGTCGACGGCGAACGACGACGACGACGAACGACGACGACGACGACGGACGACGACGACGACGACGACGGACGACGACGACGACGACGAGCGGGGGCACGTTGACGACAGTCACGACGACGACGAACGACGACGAACGACGACGAAGACGACGACGACGACGACGGCAATTACGACGACGTCGACGGCGAACGACGACGACGAACGACGACGACGACGACGGACGACGACGACGACGACGACGGACGACGACGACGACGACGAGTGGGGGCACGTTGACGACGACGACGACGACGACGACGACGACGACGACGACGACGACGAAGACGACGACGACGACGACGGCAATTACGACGACGTCGACGGCGAACGACGACGACGACGAACGACGACGACGACGGGACGACGACGACGACGACGACGACGACGACGACGACGACGGGGGCACGACGACGACAGTCACGACGACGAACGACGACGACGACGACGAAGACGACGACGACGACGACGGCAATTACGACGACGTCGACGGCGAAACGACGACGACGACGAACGACGACGACGACGGACGACGACGACGACGACGACGGACGACGACGACGACGACGAGTGGGGGCACGTTGACGACGACGACGACGACGAACGACGACGAACGACGACGAAGACGACGACGACGACGACGACGGCAATTACGACGACGTCGACGGCGAACGACGACGACGACGAACGACGACGACGACGACGGACGACGACGACGACGACGACGGACGACGACGACGACGACGACGAGTGGGGGCACGACGACGACAGTCACGACGACGACGAACGACGACGAACGACGACGAAGACGACGACGACGACGACGACGGCAATTACGACGACGTCGACGGCGAACGACGACGACGACGAACGACGACGACGACGGACGACGACGACGACGACGACGACGGACGACGACGACGACGACGAGCGGGGGCACGACGACGACAGTCACGACGACGACGAACGACGACGAACGAGGACGAAGACGACGACGACGACGACGACGGCGGCAATGACGACGACGGCGACGGCGACCACGACGACGACGAATGACGGCGACGACGAGCGCCGACGACGACGACGAGCGGGGGCACGACGACGACGAACGACGACGAACGACGACGACAAACGAAGACGACGACGAGTGGGGGCACGACGACGATGTCAATTACGACGACGACGACGACGGCGGCGAACGACGACGACGACGGACGATGACGACGACGACGACGACGACGAGCGGGGGCACGACGACGACAGTCACGACAACGACGACGACGAACAACGACGAACGACGACGAAGACGACGACGACGACGACGACGGCGGCAATGACGACGACGGCGACGGCCACCACGACGACGACGAACGACGACGAACGACGACGACAACGACGACGACGACGAATGACTACGACTTCGAACGACGACGACGAACGATGATGACGACGACGACGGCGACGGCAATGACGATGACCCTGAGTTGGGGCACGACGACGAACAACGACGACGACGACGAACGAGGAGCAACGACGACGATGGCGACGACGACTTCAATATCCACGACGACGATGATGACAGCGTCGACGACGGACGACGACGACGAGCGGGGGCACGACGACGACGAAGGACGACGAACGACGACGACAACGAACGACGAACGACGACGACGACGACTACTAGCGGGGGCACCACCACGACGACGGCAATGACGACGACGGCGACGAACGACGACAAACGACGACGACGACAACGACGACCATGGCGGCACTGACGACGACGACAAACGACGACGGCGAGGACGACGACGACGAACGACGACGACGACGAACGACGGCGACGACGAGCGACGAGAGGGGGCACGATGATGACGACGACGACAATGGCAATTACGACGACGACAACGACCGACGACGTCGGCGAACGACGACGACGGCAAACGACGACGGCGACGACGACGACGAGTGGGGGCACGACGACGATGACGACGACAATGACGACGACGAACGACGACGAACGACGACGTCGACGATGACGACGACGGCGGTGACGAGGACGAACGACGACGACGACGAACGACGGCGACGTCGAGCGATGACGACGACGACGAGCGGCGGCGCGACAACGACGAACGACGACGACGCCGACGACGAACGACGACGAATAACGATGACGACGACGACGACGAGCGGGGGCACGACGACGGAGACGAGCAATGACGACGGCGACCAGCGACGACAAGCGATGACGGCGAGGGCGACGACGACGATGGCAATGACGAAGACGACGATGACGGCGACGACGACGACGACGAGGGGGGCTCCCGAGCCTTCTGAGAAGGCCCGCCCCCCCCTCGCTCGCCGTCGCATCTGTGGGAAAAAAACACAGTGGGAAAAAACAAACAAAAAACACACACTGTGGGAAACATATGTTTTTTGTGTGTTTTTGCTTTTTTTTTTTCCCACAGACTGTGTGTGTTTTTCCCGCAGACTGCTTTTTTCCCACAGTGTTTTTTTCTACAGATGTGTGTGTGTGTGTGTTTTTGTTCCCACAGTGTGCGTGTGTGTGTGTGTATTTTTTCCTACAGACTCTCCGTGCCGCGCTCTTGCTCGCCACAGCATCGCGCGCGCGCGTGCCACCAGAAACACAAGATGTGCTCTCCCAGGGCCAGGGCCTGGCGCTGAAGGCCGGGCCTGGCAAGCTGCCCCTCGCCCTCGACAACGCCCTGGACACCATGGAGCACCGGCACAGCTTCGCCCAGAGCCACCGCTGCTGGCTTCGCTTCGACGCCTACTCGCGCGTCTGCATGGCTCCCTGATCTTGGCATCGCTCGGACGTGTGCACTTTTCCTTCGGCGAGGACCATCGAGGAGCATCCTTGATCATTTGGCGAAAAAGCCACGCACGAAACCGAACAAAAGCACAGGAAATGGACGTCCGAGCGATGGCCAGTGATGCGTTGGGAACTTCAGAAAAGCAGGGCTTGAACATCTTATGACAGCCGGTATAGCAATCAACAAGGGCTGATGTTCCATGATGACCACCAGTAGCCATACAAAAAAGAGCCACCGCTGCTGGCTTCGCTTCGACGCCTACTCGCGCGTCTGCATGGCTCCCTGATGCGTTGGGAGCTTCAGGACAGCAGGGCTTGGAACATCTCATGGCAACTGGTATAGCAGTCAACAAGGATTGATGCTCCATTCTGACCACCAGTAGCCATAACAAAAAGTTTATGCTTGAATTTTGCCCAGAGCCACCGTGGTTGGCTTCTCTTCGACGCCTACTCGCGCGTCTGCATGGATCCCTGACGCAGAGAAGGAACAGGTACTCATACCGCTGCCCTTCGCCCGTTGTCCTTTTCGGGGCCTCCTGGGAGGCTCTCGTCGCCACCGCTGGGTTCGCCTCGAAATCCCGGCCAGAACGCACCCTGGGAGAGGTCCGGGGAGTAGTGGCATCGCTACCTTTTGGTCTCCCCACTGATGCGTTGGCTGGGGCGTAGCTGCCTCGATCGGCCCGTTGTGGGACGCAACACGTACCTTGCTCAAAGCGTCCGTGTCAATACGCTGCGTTTTGGCTCAGCGTATTGGCCCACGTTTTGGCGAACGCATCGCGTCAGACCCACATGTTCAGCCTGCGTGTTGAGCTCCGTATTAAAACGCTACGTCTCGCGTGTTGCGTATATCGGGGCAGCCAAGGGAGTGATCGGTCACAGGGTGTGCTCCCATGAAGCTCGATCACGCACGTTCCGGCCGATTCTCAAGCTTGATGCGCAGTGCTGGGCGATGAGTGCCCCCTCAGCTTCTCAGCATTCCTCCTCCAGCATGATGTGCTGGGGCACGAACTGGCAGCCCTCCGAGGGGTGCCCTCTGAAAGTCGCGCGAAATGGGCCTCAAGCTGTTCTGGGCTTAGTGTTTGGGGCACACGCGCGGGCTTCATGCTCCTCGACTGCAAGTGCCGTCTGCAAACGCAGTCGCCGGAGCACGGAACCAGTTTCTTGTAATCGGAACGGCAAATATCCAGACGAGACGGTGCGCCATTGCGAATCGTGACGTTACCAGGGTTTGGGGGGGGAGTAACGGGCATTCTCGCGAACAACACGGAATTGGGACATGCAAGGGTAAGCGCAAGCACAGAGACAGCAGTGGAAGCAGTGAAACGGGGCGCTTTCGAGCAGCCCCAGTCAAGCGGTGGCGCTGCGAGGCGTCCCGGCTTGCCTATAGTTTCACCCGAACATGTTCTAACAACCTTGTACGGCTTGCACGGAATGCTCTAAGAATATGTATGGCTGGGGCCTTCTTGTTTCAACACATCGGCCTTCTGTTCTAAGCACGTGTCGTGGTGGGTCTACAGGAATGCCCGGACGGTCGGTCCCTGCTCGACCCAGGCTCTCGGCATCAACCAGATGTTGCAGGCCCTGTCCTATTTCATCGTCGGGCCGGTGCAGCGCAAGAGGCCCAGTGCGGCCCTGATCAGCCTGTGCGCGGTGCAGGCCATCGCGCTCCTCCTGCTGAAGCTCGACCTTCGCAACACCGAGGCCGATCCGAGCCGCAACCCTCAGGCCGATCCCGACGACACCGACGACAGCGATGATAGCAACGCCAGTAAGAACTTCTTGAATGTCGGCAGCAAGGACCCATGGCCGCATACGGACATTTCGCCCCATCCTCCCCTTTCCTGGGCCCACAGTAGCCTCAAGGAAATAGCACGCAAGCATGTGGTTTACCATGTGCCGTTTGTAGCAGTGCCTTCGGTACATTCGTCATTGGTAACCAGTGCAAGAGCACTGTCAAATACCATGGACCCGCGATGTGCAGAACGTTGTGTTCGGCAACTGCTTGCCCAGCAGAGCCGTCACCTTGCCAGCTGTTCAAATTCGAGTCCACCGACCCTCCCCTCACATTCGCAGGAGGAAGATGCGGATCAGATGAACGAGGGGGAGAGGAGGACACGTAACACAGGAGGAGTAGGGACCACGGAAGTTTTATTCAGGCGTTCGGTCAACGAATTCGCTACCGTCAGGAGGGGAAAGACACACGGACACCATTCAATGTCAATTTTCAAGAAAATGTGAGAGAATATGGGAAGTGCGGGGAAGACGGACACCAAGAACAAATAGAAGGAACTATGGGGAATCCTGGGAATTATGTATATTTCTTTGTGTGCTCCTGGGCCCCTTCATACCATTGGTCTGGAATCCAGCCGAGCTCGGTGAGGAAGACACCGCTCGAGATTTGCAGTCTTCATGTGGCTGAAGTGGCGGCCCTCACGTGGACGGGAGGGGGCTGCAGCGGGACTGCCTTTCTTCATCGAGGACAGAAGAACCTTTAACCCTAACAACACGGTGAAGACGTGGCCTCACTTAGGTTCCCGTCTTCGCATTCAAGATTATGATTATGGGCAGTTTGTTCGATAGACCTGCCGAAAAGGCCCCTTATCCCAAATGTTCCTGGCCCTCCTAAGTTAAGTTCCCTCTGAAAGGTTTAGGGGGCCTTTTTGTTGTCAATAACTCCTGAACGCGCGGAGGACGTGAGCGTTGCCAGCTACCGGGACCTTCTCCTGACCCTCTCGACCTTCACGCTGGCTCCTCTGTGGACCACTCTGGCGCTGTGGGCCAACCGCTTCACGATGCACGTGACGCTGCTCAGCGTGAGCGTGACGCCGTGCTTCTTCCTGCACGCCATGTGGCTCTTCCTCGTGCTGAAGACCATCTCACCCAATCAGGGGGACCTGCTGCCGCAGAGGCTCCGCACCGTGGGATACCTGGACATCTTCACCAAGGACACCGGGGGCAACCTTCGGGAGGATGAGCTCAGGGGGAATGCATCGACCCCGAGTCGCACACTGATCGGCGATAGGGGGGTCTGATAGCCCCACCCTGCCCAGGGACGTGCGGATTCGCCATCGGGGGCCCATCGCCGATCTGTCACGATTCCAGGTCGATGCTCCCCCCCTTGAGCTGATCCCCCGAGGAGAGGGAGGAGGCAACGTTCAGGCCCATATTTGGAGGGAAATCTCGCGGTTTTCCAAAGAGCCTGTGCCACTGATGTTTAAAGTCAAGGCCCACTTAGAAGAAGACATGTGTGAAGATTTCGATGCACTTGTAAAGTGCCGTGGTAACCGACTTGCGGACTACCACGCAGGCATTGCGGCCAGAAGTCACAACCTAAGCGATGGGACTTTCAGCCAAATCAAGATGTCGCTAGAAATGTATAAGGTGTTAGTGCAAGGGGTTACTAGGATTCTTGGGATGTGGCCCTCGTTCGGTGATCTCGGTTCGCTCGCTCGGAGGACCTTCGTGCCTAAAAAAGCCACCCCAAGAGTCCAGGACCCACATGAAGTTATTATGTTTCCAGGCAAACATAGGTGCAATATTTGTTTCGGAAGCCTCACGCGCTGGAATGCCAGGACGAGCTGCACTGGCATGAACCCAGCGATAGAAAGGCTTCTGGCAGGGCCCCGTCTCGGCCACAAGCCGCATTTAGCTTGGACAGAAGGGTCGGCCCTGCCTGTGTGTTTCCGTTCTGCTTGCGGGGGCTTCCTATCGTGCAGAGGAGGGGGCCCCACGAGCAAACTTTCACGTCCATGCCTTGCCACTCCATGTTCAGAATCACGGAAGCTGAACCGTGGTTTGTTGCCTGGCACAGGGTGCCGTTTGGGCCTCCCTGTTCCCCTCCCAGCCGCTGGATGCTTCCTCTGAGCAAAGCGTCCCAGAGGTAGGGCTGACAGCCCTGGGAGGGACCAGCCAGAGCTTCAAGGGTAGCTAAGGATTGCTGATGGGCTCACTCAACCGCGGACTGGGGGACTGTGTTCGTGCACCCCTGGTCCGTGGTGAGTGGGCCCAAAAGCAACCATAGCCTCCCGCCTTTTTCTTGCTGGGCGCCCGTGCTTGTACGGCGCTCCGCCTTTCTGGAAACCTGGAAACCTGGAGGAGGAGGAGGAGGAGGGTGGAGGAGGAGGAGGAGGAGAAGGAGGAAGAGGAGGAGGAGGAGGAGGAGGAGGAAGAAGAAGAGGAGGAGGAGGAGGGGATCGCTGCCCCCAGGACATACAGGACGATCGGCTGAACACGGCGGCCTCAGCGGCGAGTGCGGGCGGAGGCCGCAGGCGGGGCGGCTCGGGGTCGGACGAGGACAGCCCCGAGAGCATGCGGCCCCTCCGGACGTACTCCACCTGGAAGCCTGGCGGAGCGAAGGCGGCCCTCCTTGTTCTTCCTCTGGAGGTAGGGAGGGGGTGTGGTGTAAAAGGGCTCGGTGCCAGTCCTATGTTTAAGAGGAGTATGGCGATGTTATCGATGGCAGATAGCATCGCCATGTCCACGATTGGCACCATGCCCCTTTATGCCACACCCCTTTTCCGACCTCCAAATTTCCACGATGCGCGTCAGGGTTCTCTGGCCTGGCTCGGCGGCGAGCGAAGGGGGGGAAACGAGAATGAGAGGGCCTTCTCAGAAGGCGGCGGGACTCCTCAGGAGCCCTCGCCCTCCTCCTCCTCCTCCTCCTCCTCCTGCTCCTCCTCCTCCTCCTCCTCCCTCCTCCTCCTCCTCCTCCCTTCCCCTCCTCCTCCTCCTCCTCCCTCCTCCTCCTCCTCCTCCCTCCTCCTCCCTCCTCCTCTCTCCTCCTCCTCCTCCTCCTCCTCCTCCTCCTCCTCCTCCTCCTCCCCCCCCCTTCGCAGTTCCTCCCTCGCTCGCCGCCGATTGGCAAGCCGCGCCGTTGGTTCTGGCCCAAGACACTCGTCGTTGCGACACGACACGCTGTCCTCGTCCCAGTCACTGGGGTCATCGAGGAGAAGAAAGAAACCCCCTAGCCCTGAGAACGCAGCGAACTCGTGGCCTCACTGAGGTCTCCTTCTTCGCATCAGATGCTGCTTTTGAGCGGCTTGGTCCGATTCATGTGTGCAGGAGACCCCTCTATCCCTAATGCTCTTGCCGAGAAAGAGCACATGGCATGACCATGCACGTTTGGCGCTCCACGCGGATTTCTTGGATCCGCACATTGCGTTTTCTCTCGGTCCCCCTCCCAAAGGGTTTGGGGCCCTTTTTTTGTTTATCACGGGGGTCGACGTCCCGAGCCTTTCCCAGCCTCCCCGCCTCCCGCCCCCCGCGCGAGAGGAGCGACGCGCCATCCGCGCGCTGAGGGCATGGCGTGTGCCGCTGGGGCCGCCGCCGCGGCGCGCCAAGTGACAGCTCCTCCTCCCCCTCCTCCTCCCCCTCCTCCTTC